GGGGGGGGGGAGTTTAAGTATAGCCAATAATTTTATAAGACAGTACTTCTTTTTAGTGACTTAATGAATTTTTTTTATAAATATGTGTACCTTATATAAGTAAGAAAAACTAGGTAAGGTTAAAAGAAAATTTGACAATCATTATTTCTTACTCAGTCAATTCACTAAAACAACATATTATTTTATAAACAAATCGGTTAAATTCAATTTATATTCAAAATGAAATTAATAAATTGACTAAAAACTGGCTAATCTAAAAATTTAGAATATATTTTCAGCAGTTATTCGAAATATTTGAGATTGACTTGTATAAAATCTTAAACAATATTAATTTAGCAAAGGCTACATTACTGTTTCTTAAGAATATAAATATATTTCATTTAATTTCAGTATTCTTAAAATCGCGGTTGCTAATGATAGGTAGATGCAACGTTACAAATTCAGTTAAAAAATTTATTTGGTATTTTTATTTAAATAACTACTAACGTAATAATTATTAAAAAAAAAAAGTGGCAACCTCTGAAATACAGCGAAGATGACTTTTGAGCAACAGTATATCTGCGCCTCATTTCTACTTATCACATAGAATATTACATCCGGATTATATTTTATACTTCGCTTCACTGGTGCCTCCAATTACCCGAGAAAATATGTTTCACCGAGTTTCAATCGATTCAGTACCAAGAATTAATATACAAGGATGAAAAATCATGACTCTGTTAATTAATGTCGTGTAACAGTAAAGCAGTGCCTAATTAGGATCGCGTACCTTTTCAGAGTCAGTGTCGGAATATACACGACCCGGTCGATATTCGGGTGGCAGATATGCTCGAGCAGTTTCCGGTGGTGCAAGTTGTAATAAAACTCTACCACGTGGCGTTAACTCCAAGGTGTGAGGTGTTACCACTGGCCCAACCCTCGAACCACCCACCACACCACCATCTGTAACAGATTTTAATAAAAATCATAATATTAGTAAAGTCAATATTAGTGGAAGCGCAGTATATTTGAAGTAATGGCTTGTTTAAGACAAATAAAAACGGCGCCAGTTCCACTTAATTATTAATTTGTAACAGACTCTAAATGCTTTAAAAGTGATTGGTGTTTATCGCAATTCTTACCATTTTGTAATAAAAGTATTTAGCATTTTATAAGAAAAATATTAATTAAGAGTTAATGTAGTTATATGTATCAAATTTGAAGTTTAAAACTAACATGTTATTGATGCTATTTTGAAGCAATAATTTGTGTCTTTCTCTTTTCAAAATTGGTCGTTTGATAACAATCTAATTTACTCAACAATTAATAAAAATATAAACTAAACTACATGAATCGTGGCGAGCATACATTTTAAAGTATGAATAATGTTATCATAAAGTATATCGTAAGAATACATAAGTCATTCCCTATTTGGATAATTAATTCAGATAAACACTGTACTAAAAAATTGACATTTACTCCAATAATTACCCGCAAGGAATGATGATTTGAGAACACATTTTTATTAGCAGACTATCTATTAAATAAATTAGCATTCAGTTGATTACAATTTTTTATATGGAATTTAATAAAAATTCTTTCTTGCTTCCAATTCTACATGAAAGAATTTGTTCAATCAATATTTTCCAACGTTTTAGCCTTTGATGGACACCGTCATCACAGATAATTACTAACAATTACTTTACAAATTTCTCCAATAGATAATGTGTTAAACTATTATCCCTGATGAAAGCCCTTATCAAGGATTAAAAATGTTGAAAAATATTGGTTGTCCAAAATATTTTGGACGAACTGAAGAAGAAAAAAATACAGAAATTTTTATTTTTTATAATAATAGTCGAAAAAATGAATTATACTGATTAAAATTTATCGCCTAAAACTTCGATTATGTGGTTCTATTATTTATATAGAATTTCAATATACCTACTATTCATAATTTTAAGTGTCTCAGACAAACGTTTGGATGTAGCCAAATAATAAATTTTTAATAACATAAGTGTGGAACTTTTATGGAAATTTAAACGTCAGTCATATACAGTTTCCAAAATGGCGGAACAACTGAAAACAAAATGAATCTACATGGAAAATGTTGGAACTTCTAATTATTATTGATGAAAAATTGCTTTGTCGTTCTTTATAATAAATTCTTTATTTGTACAACGTCTTCAATGAACGCCAACCAAATCTATAACAACAGCAACCGCCAATCGCGAGGAACACTTCGCGCGCTGCAAATTACCGATCATTGCCGTTCCGACCGACCCGTACACATTCTATGGTACACATACAGTTGTTCCTTTAAAATTTCCTTTCAATAACAAATACGACAAAAATATAAAATACAATGGTTTCTTATGTAATTTTATTTTTACGAAAAATAAATTTATTCCGTATGATATTATGAAGAACGTTTGATAATAAACTGTAGTGGTATTAACGACTACATTCATTTATTTCACACCAAAACTACCAAACTGGTTTTAAATGGCTCCACAAGTTTCTTATTATAAGTTACACTATTTATTAACATGCTATTTTTGAAATCTGCATTGATTTTCACGAAAATAAATAATTAATATGTATAAAATTTTATGTCTAGTCGTTTGTTTATTTATTCTTCAATTTCATTCTTAATTTTAAATTAAATGCACATTATTGACTAGGAAGTATACTGTTCATAATATTTATTAATTCTAAAAATGAATGTATATTATATATTGTATAATATTTTAATTTCTATATATGTATATAATTAAATTTCGTTTTTTTTTCTATACATATAGGAGTTTAATGTCGCATTAACTACTAAGTTATTGACCACGCTTGATAGTTTTCCTTTAAGTTTTGTTACGGTATTTGGGTAAACAGCTTGATTTCTTCCAAGAACTTTGGAAGATCGTGTTTTTTCCCCATCTCCTAAGTTATCTCTGATCAGTTTCAGTTGGTAATTTTGATAAAGTGTACCGTAGAAATACAATTATATGAATATAATTTAATTTTAATATTAATGCATATCTAATTTAATAATTATAGAATTTTATTTAATTTTAAATTAATTATAAATAGCTTACCAAGAACATAATATTGAAGATATTGAGAAAATTGGTAATTAATTTCCAAATATTTATAAATTTATTGAAAAGTTAATTTCATATTGAAACGATACGCATACGTATTTCAAGAATAAATAACTAGCTGATACTGTTCATGAATATTTTACCAGTGCCAACAGCTTTAAATTTTTTGCGATATTATTTACATTTCGATATTGAGCATATTTACAGTTTAAATAATTTCGTGAATCAGTATTTTTCCCACCCGTTCTTGTCGCTATTTCCCAATTACGCTCGCAATTTTCCCGACAGCTGTTGCACATGAAACCCACACATTCAGCAAAATGACGCAGATGTTCGATCCGAGATACATTTATAATTAATTCTTCGACAAACTCGCGATTGTCAAGCTCAGAAGAAGTTAGGCTTGGTGACAGGTGCGTTAAGTTCAAATTTCCAGCTAGCGAAAAGGTTTGCAACAAATTATGGATTTTACTTACTACAGCAATAAAAGATAGATCTTTGAAACAGTTTCGATTTATGTGGTGAAAAACAGCACGTTATGATATAAAGACAGATACTTCGTTGTATTTTACAAACACAACAATCTTTCATTACGTTGTCATAGACAGATAACAAAGCTGCACCTCAAAACTTAGATCCTACAATTATTAAAAGAAAATCTCGCGCATGAACGTGTTTTATTGCATTGGCTGACTTCCATTTTATAAATGAAATTGTTTTTCTACTCAAAATTTAACATTCCGATATTTAAATAACGGTATTTGTCAAAAATATAGTTCGAATCATAAAGTCACCACAAAATGTTTTAAAAATAATTATTTTCGTATATAAACATATGTCTTCCACATTTATTATTTAGTTTGCCGTGGAAAAATATTAGAGTTTTGTAAAAATGTACTGTTTAATGGAAAAAAACGTTTATGAAAAGTGATTCATAAGTTTTTCAGAAAAAAATGCATATAAATATATGTATGTCATTTGAATCTCTGAATAGGCTGCACATTGCCATTTCATATTTTTCTGTATAAGCAACAAGCACCAATCCATTTTAAACAGCTATGATATAATATTATTTCCATTCTGAGAAAATGTAAAAGAAATTAAATACATTACATTATTATAATATGTCTTCATTTATTGCTGCCAAAATTATTACATCACTACAAAAAAATGGAACATGAAGTAAGAATTTTAAATTAAAAATTAGTATATGGTAGAAATATACATATGGTGTATAAAGACAATAAAGCAGACAATAGTGGCAAATAATAATAGTGAGGTAGTTATCTCAAAAGAATTCAGCAAATTTTTTAACTAAAATATTTTAAGATTGTAGCATGTAGAAATCCTATAAATAGATATAGTAAGAAAAGTACTGAGAAACGCCGAGTACACGCGACCGACACGACGTACGAAGCGAGACGCAGGCTATATCATAAAATCCTTGCGCTCAGAGTTAGGCTTCGCTGATTGGGCGGGCCTAGCTTCCAGTTTTCGTATAAAAAGACAAGCATTTTCCACAAAAAGGTAGAAATACCCAGCCTTCCTAAGAGAGAAGACGACTCCACGAGCTGCTCGGCACTCTCTTAGTATAGACCTTTTCCTAACCCAAACACGCGAGGAAGACGTATCTCACGGCACCTCAAGCTTTCCTTGATTCCTCTAAAAAGAAGACGTCACCCACAGTGTACGGCACTTTGCAGAGATCATCTTTTCCTCACTTTAAAAAACTCCCTTCGTCACCCCAATAGATTTTACAAAAACTTGAATTGTGCCGCGAATACTTAACGTAATGAACTCACTCTGCACGTGGAAACACGCGCACTTATTTCTTGTACTTTGTCCGATTACAAAATTAACACCTTACTTTAATCTACTCTACAAGATTAATTTCTGACAACAAATACCTTTGAGTACTAAGAGTTAATATTAGCAAGTGTAGATACCCATGCGTGTATAGTATGAACAAATTTTACTCTTATTTGTTTATAGCACTAAAGGTTCCTATTGCACCATATAGAATAGTAAAATAATAAAATGGTGAAATAATTGCCAAACGTAGTGAGGCTGGGATTACACGATCTGTATTTGTTGATTTGTCTGTACCATACTACAGGTCATAATTTTGGCTTGGAATTTTGAAGGTAGATTTGTTAGACACCTTTAATTCATTGTACACATGTTGGCGGTGATCTGAGAACAGGGACCTGTTGTCGTCGAATCGATAAAAAACCGTGCTTTGATATTATTTTTGAGCATTTTCGATATATAAACTCAATTGATCGCCATTGACGTCAGTTTTCATCAAATTAACAATAATCATATTTCGTATCGTCTTCGATAGTTTCAGTCACGTCTAATTAGTTAGCACGACTTTAAAATCCCTACACCTCATTCTTATTCTACCAATATATTTGTAGTAGGTACTCTAAATTTTAAATACACATTTGAATTTGTGTGAAACACCTGGTCTGTAGACGCAATAGTAATATAATACAAGAGTAAAATGGCAGTAGAATACAGGGAAATAGCAATACGATAGTTGATATAGTGAAATTGTAGTATAATAATATAATAGAAGAGTTAAATTATAAAAGCAAGTGATGAGATTTATAGTCGACATGATGATGACCGTAGTCGTCTTCGACAGTCCTATTATAAACACAGGCGAAAACGAAAGTTGAAGTGTTGCGGCCAGGATGGTAACGGGACCATATAGAGCTTGGCCACCCTGACCTTGGCAGACAACGATCGTTAGATTTTTCCAAAAAATGGGGATTCGTTCCCCATAATACCTTTGGAAAAGCACGGCGACGGGGCATTACGTGAGTAAGTTTGGAGAGTAACGAAAAGAGAAGTCGGACG